TTTTTTATGTTTCAATCATCGTTCAGGGCCAGGTCCTCTACCCCTTGGGTGGTAAGAGCCCCAGAGGGTAGAAGCCGGCGAGGTTCCGATGGCTCCTTTCTTTTGGTGGGGAGCTGCACCTGCTGGAAACCGGGTCCAGCGTCCCTTCCAATGAATAAAACATCAGGTAACTTCTCAGAGTTCAGCAACTCTCTGGGCTAACAGCGAAAAATGGTACCTCTTCACCCTAAAGGCGCCTGAGATGAGTTAGCATCTAGTCCCACTACCCACTGTACCCAGACTTATAAGAACCAATTCTGAGGATCAACAAGTTCTACAATTAGCTTAACACCTGAAGACGAGCCCCTACATAATGAACTACATAACCTGAGTAATCCTGTCCTTTTAGGAACTGCCTTCGGTTCTATCACTAACGCTTCATGGAGATCTGGGACCCCTCAGCGAAGGTTCAACAATCTGTCTGTTCAATGATGCTCAATGACACAATGATGATTCAATGATCTCTCTCTCTCTCTCTCTCTCTCTCTCTCTCCACACACACACACACAACGTTCTCTCTCTGCACCAAGGAATTCTCCAATCCCGTCTCCTTCCCTGCCTGTTACAAGCTTTTTTAACACTGTTGCCTTCGCCCTCGTTCTGCTCCCTGCCTTCCATGTCTTTGGAATCTTTGGAAAACACTCCCCGGTCTTCCCTTCTCTTCTTATCCCAATAGACTGTACCTCCCAGACCTGCGTTTGCATCTTCTCTTTCTTCATGCCCAGTCCTGTGATTCGAATGACTCATATCCCCATTATCCTCATCGTCATCCTCGTCATTGTCATCATGATCACCATCACCGGTCCATTACCATCATCATCATCAACGTCATCATCATCATGATCACCATCACCCTTTCGAGGTGATTCCAAGGATTCCAACAATTTGTTATCACTGTCATTATAGCCTTCCCCAATTATATCACCATTATTGTCATCATCATCATTAACATCATCACTAGTATCATCATTATCCTCATTAACTCCCCCCGAACTGTGAATAGCAACCCGTCTATTCCTCAGATCGGCATCGTTCGCTCTCAATACCTCTCCCTCACTGTGTTTGAGGGAGATGGCACTGCCCTATCACACAGAACCATCTCAGTTCACACCCACAGTTCAAGCACAGCACATTCAACTCCATCAGAATCCCGGTATCTTCAAAATATCCTTAATCTGCCAGAGCTCCTGGCTTTTCCAAAGAATCTTTCCTGACAACGGCTCCTCGCTGTCGCTGCCTCTCACGCTCGTTCTTGCAGCTGCCGCTTTCTGAGATTGAAGTTCCTCCCCTGCGCCACTCCTGATCACCTGCCCTTGGTGCCGTGTACGCCGTACGTGGGGTCTTCAGCTCTGTCCCGTCTCAGATTCGAGCTGCTGCCTGCATAACTTGACGATGTGATCATGATAACTCCGCATGCTGTCGGATCCTCTCTTTGCCTTCCTTATCTCCCTCGGTATCCGAAGGCGATTATTCCACCTTCTCTCACGTCGTCACCACGCCTGTTGAAACTGAAAGCCCCACAATTTCTCCCTCTGTTCCGTTTTCCTTTCTGTCACGCCGTCGGCCGCTTTCTCCCAACGGCCCGATATCAAGATCCGAGATCTCCCAGTGTTCCCCCTTCTTACACTCTCCCCTCTATCTCACCGTTTGTCGCTCCTTCCAATGGGCCAATAACAAGATACGAGCTAACGGCCGCCTGCAGTGTAACCCTTCTCGCCACAAGTGTGCGAATCTCAGGGCGCTTCTCCTTGCCTCCCTGGGCATGCCGAGGGCGAGTTACTGTCGAGGGCCAACCTCCGCCAGTTCTCTTAGTACTTTGAATTCCATAAAAGCCTCTGCCTGAAGAACCATCGTCACTCCCTTGCCAAATCGGGAAGCTCCCAGCCACGTCATATCCTGGGCCAACCTACAGGCCCACCCATCGCTGCTCCACCCAATCCCTGGTCCAGAGCTCTCCCGTCAGGAAGTTCAGGCACGTACTTCCTCTTGCCTTCTCCCGAAGCGCCGACCGTAGCTTCGTTCCTTCCGACAATAAACTAGCATACTCGAGCACCTTTCCACTACCCGACAAACTCCCTTACTCCAACCATGGCCTTACACTTCTTAAAGATCTGATTGTTGGCTACTTCGTCCCGCGGCGAGATAAGAGTCTCTGGATTTGTGTCTCCCTTTGTCCTGCACTAGGGTTTCATACGTGTCCAAATAACTCGTCACCAGCTATGCTCTGCTAAGTCCTAAAGCCCCACAACATAAATCTCAACGCACCTGAGCTGCACTAACATAGAAGCCCTAAGCACCGCCTACATCCAGCTTTGTGGAAGAATCCCTTACTGTTCTACAGTGTATTCCATAGGAAGGACGCTAGATATCAGCGTTCTTCGGTTCGTATTGTTCGAAATGTTCATAATGTTCGTCTCCTGTTCCATAGCCTAGTTTATCAAAGTGCCACCTGCCGGATACATCCCCCCTCCCTTCCCACCCCCAAGGACAAGCTCGCCTCCCCCGTGTTCGACCATCCATGGATCGACAGCTAAGAGAGCCGCCTCCCCCGTGCTAAGCCCTCCGGGGTATGGCAGGTAAGCTCCACGCATGGAAACCTAGCCATGAACGCACGCGTGTCGCGGGTGTTGAGCGCTACAGCGCCGCTACCCGGTTCGTCCTCTCTGCTCTGTTTTTGGAAATACAAGTTTGTATTGTTGAAAAAAAAAAAAAAAAAAAAAAATTTGCAGCGGATCGACAACAAAAGTACAGGGACGCTGTTGATACACCACCGTCCAGGCTGCGCACCCACGCCCGAGCGTGGTATCAGTAACCGGTATATATACTGTATAATAATTTTGTTTTGCTGTGACTGCGGTGCCTCTACGTTTGAGGTCTGCTGCAGTCCCTCCACGTTCTGTCGGGGGGTTGCTGCAATACCTTTGCGTCGGAAGTTTGCTGCGACGCCTTACGTATTTAGTCGAGGTTTGTGGCCTCGTTCCACTTCTCCCCAAATGTTCGAAATGAGAACGAATATCGTCCTAGATATGGTAGAGACACACCGCTATATTTTTTTACTTTTGTGCGTGTGGTGAGTAATACTGAGTATGAGCAGTGCAGCGAGGCCCTTGCTGTGCTTTTTTTTTTCTTTCACGCGTGTATGGGGATACTCACACCAGGACAGGACTTTTTGGTCATAATTGCGGCCAGATACATTCACGCGTGTATGGGGATACTCACACCAGGACAGGACTTTTGGGCGTAATTGCGGCCAGATACATTCTAGCAACGTGTATGCATGAGTATGGCCTGCGCGTATATTGTGTGCGGGACCTTCGCTCTGAAGCGGCCCAGAAACCAGTGGGTAAGTGGTCCTTCGGGAAATTCTTCGTTCAGAGAAAGAAGATTAGCATGGCCCCTCCTGCGCGAGGATGACACGCATAAAATCGAGAACTGGTCCAAATTTTTATAATAAACAAAAAGAAAAGATTAGAGAAACATGATGTTCATAGGGGAGGGGTAATCGGAGAGGCACAGCGACTGGCCACTCAGATGATGCTCGGTCCCTCTGCCACCGGCTGTCCCCTTGCCGGTGTCGCCCGTTGGGGGTTCCCTGAAAGCAATCAAGGCCACCCTGGGCTGAAAAGGCCACCCGATGTCAGATTAGACACAATATTGAATTTACCTGGGCTGGTCAGTCCGATGATAATACCTCAAGGCCATCGCCCTTTAAAAAAACAAAAAAACAAAAAAAAAAAGAAAAACATGTTTTTTTTTCTTTTATCAACATGTTCGTATTACTGCCGTAGCCGTCGCGCTCCATCCAGTATTCCCACAGGCATCGGTGCCATAGCCGCCCAGTAGTCCCAAAGGCGTTGGGTCAACGTGGCCAACTATGCTTCTGGGACCCACGTAGGCGAAAGCTGGCATTATAGCCCAGGACATATAATGTAGGCACGGTAGACCAAAGGCCTCTTTTCCCACTACTCGCCAATTTTGTGGTAGATTGTTGTCTAGATGCGTCCCCCGTTTTTTTATATATGTCTAAAGGTGGAACGAGGCCCCAAATGGCACTTGCAGAAATCCAAGGCATTGCTGCAGTAAGCCACCTGCCAACGCTTTCTCGACATTTGGGCCCCCATCTTTTGGTGAGGAGCACCACCACCACCTGACAACCGGGCCCGGCATCACACAGTACAGTACACAGCTGTTATGTTACACAGCTGTCGTACACGACAGCTTACAAAATTACAGCTTGATAGACCCATCTGGGAGAGTCAAAGCCGCTGCTAGTAACCAATGACAGCTCCCCTAACTACCAACTGGGTAAAGTTCAAACCACTCAAATGAAATGGTAGATGCAAAAAAATGGACTCGTGGTTTCTGGGAATTTCTTAGAGCCCCTTCAAAAAAGCTATCCATTCAACAAAAAAAAAAAAAAAAAAAAAAAAAAAAAAAAAAAAAAAAAAAAAAAAAAAAAAAAAAAAAAAAAAAAAAAAAAAAAAAAAAAAAAAAAAGCTACCCGGTAGCATGGTAGATCTCCCTGATGATTGTTGCAATACCCGGAGTGGCTCTCCTGGTCAAATTGTGAGGTTCCCAGCCTCTTTCCATTTTCAAACGAAGAAAAGAGTTTAGCATGGTAAATCTTGTTTGAGCCCTTCAGTGGCAGATCATTCGCAGATGCCTGCCCACACCCGATTGGCTAGTTTCACGGACTGACTTGGAACCGCGAGGCATCCTCTCTCCAATCTGGTCCTACTGTGGGAGAGCTACCCAGCCTGCTAGAGCAACCCTGGAACACTGTCAGCTGACATGTCCAATGGTGGCTCAGCCATGGCGCTGGTGGGATTCTGCATGGCACCGCCTCACAGGTCAACACCTTCCGTGGGATCCAGCACTAATCCTGCTGGCTGAGCACACTCCCGAGACTCGACAATGGGATGCCTTTAAAGCACCAGTACATGGGCACGTGGGCCGTGGGCCTGACACCTCAAATTCTGGAGGCGCGAAACGAAACCACGACCGCCGATCTATTTTATCAGCGGCGGGTGCGACGTTTGATGTTTCGGCCTCGTTTTCTTGTGGCGACAACTTTCGGACTGCAAGGCTGGGGCCGTGTACTGGTTGTTTAAAACAAACTTATTTTCCTACACCCGTCTGACAGTCTTACTCCTAGCCTGGAGAATGAGGTGCTCCCACGAACGGAGTGGTTATGCATTTAGCTTCCCCCAGGCTAGGGAAGCAATCATCAACACAATCACCACCCATACGCAACAGGCATGCAAAGAGCTAAAGCAACAGCTGCAATCCTCCAAGGACCATACAGAGAAGTAGCAATGCTTGGCCTGTGATAAGCCAAGATCCGTACTCAGTGGCTCCCCGTACCCTTAAGGGAAAATCCCACGTAAGGCCTCGAAGTACGGATTCAAGACAATAGGGAAGAACCGGGTTCAGTTCTTTTCCTTTCCTTTTACGAAAAGAGGGACAGAGTAGAAAACGTAATTCGGGTCTCGCATGGCCGGTTAGCGGCCGCGCCAAGAAATTAAAAAAGCAGCTGGGAATTAGCGGGAGTAGGAATTTTGAAAAATTTCCGTGCGTGGTTGTTTTTGAATTTTTGCGCGTCGTGTAAACCCGCTCTCCCGCTCTGCATCCCTTCTTGCTGCGCATTCCCTTCCTGCATGCCTCTTCGTCTTCCCTCTAAGAGAAGTCCGATCCCATCCTTCTCCTTCCCCTATGAACGATTGGCTGTCTGATTGGGATGGTCGGGGCAACGTGGTGGTAGCGGGAAGCGCGCCCCACTTGGACGACCACCCCAATCACGCAGATCATTTGACTCGCCTCCTTCGATCCCTCTGGAACCTCTGCCCTTCTTTCGTCCTGCTCATCTACACCCCGTGCTTCGCGCAGCCTCCCCGCCGCCTTCCGCGCTATAAATTCTTGCAGTCCTTTCCTCTCCTCCTCTTTGATCTCGTCTGCAAGCTGCGCAAGCTATGTGCGAAACCCGCGGCACTGAAAAGGCTCGATGTGCCCCGTGATGGGCGGAGTGACGGCGGGTGGCGGACTTAGCGATAGACTTGGGGTAAGGCAGTCGGAGGGACTGAGCAGTGGCGGACATCAGACGCCTGCAGCGGCAGGGCCTTGTGGCTATGGTTGTCGGGGGGTTTGATGGATTGGGGGCTGGACCCTGAGCGGCCAGTTGTGAGAATTTTGTATACTAAAAACTTGCTTCTCTCCATTGCTGCTTTGTCCCCGTGTGATGTGCGCAAGGTCCCAATGTGTGGGTAGTCAGTTGTATGCATTCTCGGGTGTGGATTCGAAAGTCTATAGATAATTGAATGTTTCCTTGTTCCGGAGGGCTCTACGACTAGGCACGTGTGTATGCGCCGCCAGGCCTGATGATAGGAAGTACCGAGCGTTGTTTGCCCATATGAGTATATGCGTGAGTCGGTCCTTCCTCCCTTCCTTCGACCTTAACCCGAGCGGGTGTGCGGGACCTGCGCCCACTCTCTCTCTCTCTCTCTCTCTCTCTCTCTCTCTCTCTCTCTCTCTCTCTCTCTCTCTCTCTCTCTCTCTCTCTCTCTCTCTCT